GACCAATATAGGCCAGAGAAGATGAGTAAAGTCACATGGTTGAGTTGCTGTGCTCTCCATTATCATCAGGATCAATTGCATTTCAGATAAGAAGAGCTTGTATTGTAGGTAGTGTTTTCTGCCTCCTTTTTTGAGTTTTGGCTTGGAGAAGTCCAGGGCTCCTTCCAGTCTTGCAGGTTTTGTACCTGCAGCTGTCACAGATGTGTTCTCACTGAATTCTTCTTGAATCCCAAGGTGAGGCTTTTGGTTTTGCCAGAACGTATTGCCACACAAGCTGAAAAGTAACTTTATGTTTGCTTTCTATTACAGCAAGCTCTTGGGCTGTAAGCAGAAGATCATTGACTTGCTTCCAAAGATTGAAGTGGCTCTAAATAACATCAAGGAAGCTGACAACTCAGTGATGCAGATGCAGGGCAAAAGACAAAGGGAGATCTGGCATTTGCTGAAAATTGCTTGTGTAAGTAGCTTTTGGACCGTTTGTGCTGCAAACCAGGTGCTTTCCTGGTTAGCCTAAGTTGTTTTAAGACTACACGGATTTTCCTGAACTGATTATAGTGACAGTGCAGCTGAAGCTGATTTCCACATGCTCACATTTAAGGTCAGCATGGGAAACCTCTGTCTTTTCCCTGTCAGGATTACTGGGGCTGTGCAAGGCTTGCAGTTTAGGACATGGCACCACTTCCTAATTCTTCAGCATAGAAGACATGTCATGTACAACACTGCACAATGTCACATCAATGACATTTGTACCAGAACTCTGGAAGCTTGTACCAGCTGACTTGCCAGTCACAGACATGGCCTAATTTGTGTGCATATGTTACAAACAGGGTGTAGAGAATAAGCCTGTCTAACTAAGACCTCCCTGGTCCATAACACTGATGAATTTCTCTTTTTCCAGACTCAGAGCTCTTCTCGATCACTGGTAAGCTCCAGCTTGGAAGGGACAACCTCAACAGCAGTAGCCCCATGGCTCCCACAGGGCTCCTCAGGGAATGTACTTCATCCTCTGTCCTCTTTGGCAACTCCTGAAGATGGGTAAGAGCTGTTGGGAAAGGAGGGCATTGCAGAGAGCTCAGTGTAGCCATTTTGTATGCATACACTGAAATCCTGTCCTCTGCCACTGGAGCCTCCAGTGCTGAGGGGGCATGTCCTCACCACATCCATGTGGGTTTGGGATGTGCTGGGCAGGGGAAGTTTTGGCATACCAGGCTGTCTCTGAAGGCAACATTGTTCAGCTCCTGGCTGGAGTTTTAGAACTTAACCTTTGGCCATACCACAGCAAAAGGCAGCAATGAGATTTTGAGCTGAAATGCAGTATCATTTCGTGCCCAGATTCTGGTGCAAATTCCAGATAAATCATACCATAGTTAGTACTTCTTACAGCTTTGGTGATTTTAAAAAGTCTTAATTCAAAAGGAGGACTTTAGTTGGGGTCAATACAAAGCAATCCATCTGGTTCAATACCTGGGACTTTATTCATCCTTCCAAAAAATGTGTCAGTAGCTTAGTTGTGCTCTAAACCAATCAGGAATTAGGTTGAACGCTTTATTCAGAAACCTGTGCTCTCTGGTCCTGAACAAGTTCCACATACTGCTGTCAGCTAAAGCACTGTGTTAGTCATTTCTTGTACGTCATGTCATTCTGTCTTGGGGTTGGATTTGGTAATTAAGGGTCCTTTCTCTCAGCCGGTCATAGCTAAGTAAGAGTTGTCAGGAGCTGAGAGGTTTTTCTCTTTGCTTTGTTAGTAATTTTTCCTTCTATTATGTCGACTGGAAGTAAAGTGCCCCTCATGGTGCTCAGCCCTCGATCTGCAGCAGTGCTGGTTGAACATCAGCACCAAAGTGTTTTTGGGGGCAATACCTGGATTCTACAGATACACACCTTCCAGGCAGGCTTTTGCTGGAAGTCACTTGTTTTTTCTGAAACCCTGAGCAACCTTTCTCCTTCCTCTTTTCTGTCTGCTGCTGTGGGGTGATTTCCACCTCTGGGTAATGTGGTGCTTTCCTGAGCCTTTGGATCTCGTCAGAGCTCCTCCTCAAGCCATGACTTCACTGTATGAGGCACTGTACAAAGAGTAAAGAAATGTAAACCTTATGGAGAGTGGGCAGTGATTTTAGGCCCCTTGTATTCAGCTCAGCTCCATGGTTTTGTTAAGGCAGAGTCTGTGTGGTTTGTGCAGTTCCTCTGTAGGGAAGGAGTGCAAATCCACACTTCCAGGGTGGGGATCTGCAAGATGCCACCTCAAGGCACGTTTTTCTGCTCTACAGGGTAGCTCCTAGAGTTGCAGAGAACTCCTGCAAATCAGGTTTTGGGGTTGTTTGGGTTTTGTTCATTTGTTTTGTTTTTTTTATCCCCCATAGTGCTGAGCCTTCTGACGTTGGTGTTTCTTTGTGTTTTAAATCTGTTATGCCTTCCCTGCAGGGAAAATTTTGTCCATGTCATAGAAGAGAATCTGAATTACCTTGAACTCTTTAGCAGTATTTTGGAGGAGGTGAGACAGGAGCAGAACAACAGTGTGATGGTAAGTCTGTTGATGTATCTGAGGACCTTGTTTTTAAGTGCCACAGCAGGGTCCTCTGGGGCTGTGGAGAACTCCTTAAATAGGGTAATTTGTGATGATGTGAATTGCTGTGGCTGTCATCCCTTCTGGATTCCACTAACATTAAAAGGTAGCCCTTGGTGCTAGTATCAGTGGTCTGCATGGAAGTGGGCTGTTCTGTGGGCTGGGCGAGCTTGCTCTGAATACTGGTTGCATTCTCAACTGGAGAGTCCTGGTTTGTGTCCTGCACTACAGTGGGCAGGGTTCTCCATTTCCAGAGCCCTTTCCTGATCATTAACTGAAGCTGTCCTCATGGCAGAAGTGAGGCTTTAGAGAGTCTTAAGAAGGCTCTTTGCACAAACTGGTATTTGAAGTAGCAAGAAATAACAAAAGTAAATAGTGATCACCCAGAGACTTTAATGCCATCTGAAACTCTGTTCATGAACTGCTAATTGAAGCCAGTAAGTTTGTGCACAGAGGACCCTGGTTACCAGAGGAATAAAGAGCACCACAGGATATTGGTCTTTTAGAAGGGGCTGTCAGCTGATTTTGGAGGCTGTATCATACAAGCCACCTGTATGAATATAGTGAGGAAAGGACAATTAGGCCTATAGATAGACCTGTTTATGACAGAGAAAAGTCCATACAGATTCTGTTAGCATGAGGTTATCTAACAAATTTACTGCCATTGTATAAAGAAGTCAAAGATCCAGTGCTGTGCTGTAACTTAGATTTTCAAGAACCTTCTTAAAGCTTGAAGTTGAAGGTGTTTACCAGTTGTAACTGCTGAAATAAAAGGAACAGAGGGTTGAGGTAATGGAGGTGGTTGATGAAACGGAGCTCTTACAATTCATAAACATTTTAATGTACTAATGCTTATGAATAATTGTAAACGGTGAACTGAGAGTTTGCTGGAGCTACCGAGTTATTTGGGATTGTGAAATGAAAGCGTATTAGTGGGAGCTGCAGATGACGCTGAGATAACAAGGGGTTGAGCAATATGAGTGAGAAAATGAAATTAGCTGCCAGTTAAGGCAGAGTAATTATGTTAGTGTGGAAGACAGCCTTAATTATGCATACTTTGGTCTTACCCATTGGTTGATCAGTGTTTATTTGTCTTTGTTCCATCCTGACAGGGTTGGTATCAGTTGTGGAACACGCTATTCTCTCCTGTCTTGTCTCCTTGCTGTGGCTGGAGATGAGGGAGAAGCTGTTTGACTGGCTTCCATTAATTATCCATGTCTCTGTCATCTCCCTTATGCCAATGTGCAGTGTCTGTCCCTGGCATGTTTTAGCCCAGAAAGATTATTCATTGCTATGGAATCACACTCTGCAGATCAGCACATGTTTTGTTATATTTGGGGTTTATCAATCTTTTCTTGCATCAAGGGACAGAAGTTAGGCAGCAGGAAAGCATCAGACAGTGGGTTTTGTCCTCTTCATTTGGGGGGAAAAGTAGGTTAAAATGGTAATTATAAGAACTTCTTATCTCTTCTTGTCTACATTTGAATTCAATTTCTTTATATTTATGTTCTTGTCCTACCAGTGTGTCCTGTGGTGCACTGGGAACCCCAGTGGTAGGTTTTGTGCAGGCACGAAGTATGATTTCCAAAGGGAGTGCAGTCTGTGACATGCCTGAGCACTGCAATTAAGTATGTGTGTGTGGGGAGGGGGCTTTGTGGTGGGAGCAAGCTGAGTTGTGAAATGGTGAGAGTACTTTTCAGCTGTTAGATCAGTGTGATCCCTTGGGACAGCAGAGGTGCTGGGTAGTGAGTGTCCTTTGGTCACCGCCTTGGAAATACACATTCAGTACCAGTTTTCCTGCGTTTCAGTTGTTTCCTTGCTTTTTTCAGAGTTTTGATTGGAGCTGGCTCAAATAGTCCAAGGAGCTGACGTGCTGCTGTCTGCAAAGTGCCTGCATGCTGAGAGGTGGCTTGGCATTGATGTGACTGCCCCATCAACCACCTTGTGTTTTGTAACCCTTCCTGGAGTCGGTTCCAAAGGCGTGGTGCTCAGGAGCAGATCCACCACCAGCAATAACAACCAGGGTTTTCCATGCTGCTGCCTTGTTGGGTTCTCGACTCAACCACTACCTGTTGGAGACATACCTGCAGTGCCGGCTACCTTCATCTGCGATGGGCTGGAGTGGGGACACCAGTGCTGGGGGCTTGTCCCACAGAGCTTATCTCTAGAGACAGAAGGAAAGGAGGAGAGGGAATGATGGCAGCTGCCTCAGGACTGGGATGCTGCTTCCCCTCTCCCCCGCGCGCTTCTCACGTGTGTAATATGAATGTATAGATTATATATATATATATATTTTTTAAATAGAATTGATTGCAATAAACGCTGTGGAGCAGCTCTCGTTTGGGCCCCTAGGCCCAGCTCACGCCGTTGCCTGGCAACGAGGCGGTGGCCGTGGGCGCGCCTCTGTGACGCCATCGGCCGGCGCCTCGCGGCCCTCTCCACGCCCCCAGCCTGCCCCGCGCGGCGGTGGGAGGGGAGGGGCGGGGCGGGAGTGGGGCCTCGCGGCCGCACGTGGGCTCGCGCCGCCAGGTATGGGGCGCGCGGGGCCGGGCCGGGCCTTACCTCACCTCACCTCAGGGACCTATCCCGGTACCGGTTAATGGCCTCCGGCACCGACCTGAGGCCTTTGGGGCGGGGGGGGAGGGCAGGGGTGCGAGGGCAGCCCCCGTGTGAGCGCCCTTCCCGTGGCGCCCGGGGGTCTCTTCAGCCGTTGGCGTGAGGGGGAAACGCGACCTCGAGCAGCGGAAGGGGCACCCCCTGCGTCTGTGGTCCCGGAGCGCGGAAGCGTTTGTGCTCGGGAACGGGACAGATCCTGTCAGGGAGGAGGGAGAGGAGGTCTCCGTGCTAGGCGGCGGATAACCAGAGTTCCACCGTCCGGGTGGTGACGGCTTGTGTCCCGCAGGTAATGTGAGGATGACCATGGCCCAGGCTGGAGCCGTAGTTGCAGCTGCCACAGGACTCCTCGTCTTCTTCCTGTACTCCTCTATCCACAAGGTTGAGGAGGGGCACCTGGCCGTGTATTACAGGTACTGCGCCTGCAGCGCCTCGGCACCAGATGTAGGCTGCCCTGAGTTTCTCCCTCAACTGGGGTTTATCCCTGGCCACAGATCCCCGCTCTCCCCTTTGTTTCCCTCCGGGCTTTGCCCTGAGGTGGGCAGACTGTGTTGTTTCTGCTCTTATACATGGCCCCTGGTGGCGTGGTTCTGTACAAAGCTGTTACGAATTTTGGGCTTTCTGAATTCTGCTCCTCCTCCTTCCTCCCCTTTTCTGGGTCAGGGTTTGGTTTTTAACGATTAGAGGGACTAAAGCTTTTAGTCCATCCAAGCTTTTCACATCTGTTGATCTCCCTCTTTCACCGAGGGCTGTCACCCCTATGTTGTGCTTTGGGTGAGGGACTGTGCTGAATGCACTGGGGGGATTGAAACTGGCAGCACTGCATCAACTGCTGGATTTTTCCATGGTTACTGGTGAACTATTTAGAGAGGGAAAAATCTGTGTTCGTGAAGCTCTCTGCGATGTTGCTGTTATGGAAGAATTCAGCCAAATCTGCCTTCTCTGAAAGTTAATTGCTCACAGGCCTGAAGCAAATGATTGCTGAGTTGCAGCAGGCAAGTATATGCAGTCAGCCCCTCTGTAGGAGAACTGGTGGCAGATTTGGTGCAGGTGAGTGCTGTCATTTGCACTACTACAGCTGTGACTCCTGGCAGTTGGAATGTGCGCACTCTCAAAGCTAGCACTTGATGTTTTCCAGTTGTGTGAGCCTTTTCCCTGTTTTCCTTCTTCTAGGGGTGGTGCGTTGCTAACTAGTCCAAGTGGCCCAGGCTACCACATCATGCTCCCATTCATTACCACTTTCAAATCTGTGCAGGTTTGTGTCTTTTCACCTTGGGAGAGGGTGGGTGGGAGAGGTCCTTGATAGGGATAATGTTGGATGTGGGTGGCAACTAGTGTTTGCAGAGGAGCTTGGTAACGTGATTGGAGCAGCAGCTCCTCAAAAGCCCTTGGTTCCCTGCTAGACCCAGCTGTGTGCTGGGACTTGTCCTTTTGATGGGCTCTCCACCACATGTGTGTTGCTTGGGACAGGACATGTTTTGCTCAGGGAGGACAGGCTGTGTTTGTGGCCCTAACTGTTTCCCAGGAGAGCTGCAGGCCTTAGTGCCACAGGAGCCGAGAGTAGGGGAATGAGCACAGCTGCCTTTTTGACTCCCAAAAGGCAGTTGGAAAGAAGTCTGTTTTCTGCCCACCTCTACAAGAGTCAGGAGGGAGGCAGAGGATGCATTTTGGGCTTTACGTTCCCATGTGGGAGTCTGGGTACATTGTGTTTTTCCTGCAGAATGGAGTGTTTTGGTGAGTGGTGGTTGTCTTTTCATTTCAGACCACACTGCAGACTGATGAGGTGAAAAATGTGCCTTGTGGGACAAGGTATGCTTTTCGCTTGTATTTCTAATGGTGATGGACAGATCTGTCATGTGGTTTGCAACTAGGCACTTAACAGTGCAGTGACTGAAAAGTAAGAGGCTGAAAAGTACAGGCATTTACCTTGAAATTAGTTCCAAACATCACACACACACCAGACATGCATCACACATGGAAATAAGACCAGGAGGATGGGAGGGAGTGCTCTTGTTTTTGCTGGAATTGATATTTAGAGGGTATTTGCATTTATAGTAATGGTCTCTTGATTTGTCTTGCTTTCTTCCATTGATTACGCTGACAGCCTGGTGCCTGTGCTTTGGTCTGTCCTTTGCTTTGATTTTTAGTTTAATTCTTGTGGCTAAATGCAAGTGCTGACCCCAGTATGGGTAAAAGTCAGTGGTGAATGGGAATCCCCATGATGGGAGGTGGCTCATTTCAAAAAAGCTGAAACAAAGGAGTCTCCTGGAGTAATTTGTGCATTTTTGGAATTGACATCTCACCTGATGTAAAAAGAGAGTGAGAAAGAATAAAGAAGAATCTCATGCATGGGTAGCACCTGCCTGCTTCTGAATTAAGCTGGATTAGCTTTCGTTCACAAGTTAAAGTGTTGGGCTAAAACCAAAACTGGTGATTCTCCTTCGGTTTAGCTTTAGGGTACTCAACAGTATTTCTGTTTAAAGGAAAAAAGGCTGCATCCAGCATGACTTGAATGCAGCCAGGCCTTTGTGGTCAGGTAGAGTCTTTAGGTCAAGCAAAAAGTAATTGCAGAAAGGAGGAGTAAGACTCATTATTTTCTGTATCCTTTAAATGGCACAGTTAAAAAGCTATCAGAATTTTAGCAGTGTGTTTAGTGGCACGTTTTAGCTCATAAGTAGCATAAATAGGAGTAATACTTCACCTGTGGGATGCTATAAAACAGCATCGCATCCTCTGGGATGGTGTCCTGCTGTCCTGCAGGCAGAACAGGCAAAGCTTTCCCCCAAAGCTTAGCCGCAGTAGATGTGCTAACACAGCCCACATGAAACTGTGCTACTTTGATTCCTTTTGAGCAGGGAGGCTGGACAAGATGACCTCCAGAGGTCCCTGCCAGCCTCCCCATTCTGTGTGCTGTGACTGAAGGGCTAAATGTTCTGTTTAATTCTGTATAGTTAGCCATTAAGATCCTCTTCCACTTCAGCACTGTGGGTTTTGGTTGTGCAATACAGTTGGGTGTGAAGTTACAGGTACTAACCATGCTTTAAAACACCACCCAGCTGGTAAAGCAGTTCCGAGTTAATCATTCAATACACTTCAGACCAAAGGTCTCAGGAGCCCTGTCCATTTTTAAGCTGTTGCTGCAGAAGCCTTTAAACTTGCTGCATTTGGAATCAAAGTCTGCAACTGCTCGTTGCCAAAGAAGCTTTGAAGCCACGTTTCCGTAATAAAACATTAGCTTATAAGTACCAAATGGATCAAATCTGAAATTTCACTATCCGGGTTCAAAGTCTATTACAAGAATAGATCCTAAACAGTTTAAATTCCTGTAATTGTCTATTAAGCCATCACATTTTAAAGGCTGGGATTCTCTGTCACCATATTCATATTCCTGTTCCCTGTATTCTTAGCTGCATTAAGAAGCTTCTGAATGGCTCTGTGGGTGTCCTGTCCCCAGTTTCTGCCTTACCTGTTCCTATTTATACTTGACAGCATTAAGTGAATTCATTAAATAGAGATTTTAAAATACTTTGGCACAAATGACTGTTTTTCATAAACCAGCTGTTACCTGAGAGACAAAACCCATTCCATTCCAGCAGGTAGAATGTGGTTCTGTTCTAAGCTGTGAATTGCCTCTGGTGTCTGAGGTTTCTGCCTTTCCCCAGCAAGAAAATGTATGCACAGCTTCTTGGAAAGCTCAGCAGTTTCCTCATGGCAGGTCTGCTCATACGCCAAAACTGATGGAAACCCTAGTTCTAGAACTAGTTTTAGAAAAGGGAAGTATTCTCAAGGACTGACTCAAAGAATTAGTTAGGAAAGAATATACTCCTAGGTGTACTGTTTGTGGAATACAGAAAATAGCTTGGAAATGGTGTTGTGCAGCTGCTGCAGAAGAGAATAGGGCAGGTAACATTTTTCTTATAAACTTAACTGGAAAGAATTGTGCTAAATATTATGCAGGTTTTGCAGTGGCAAGGAACAGTGAGTAGCCAGGACACTAAGCAGTGACATTGCTCAAGCATTAGAAGTTTATTGCAAAGGTGTGAGAGTCCTCTTGTGCTCATGCTGCAGAGCATTGGTAGGAATGCAGACGGAGCACTGGGGGAATGCTGTTCTGGGATAGATCCCTGTTTGGCAGCCAGCCATATGGAAAAATGTGGCATGAATATTGCAGGTGAATGTACTGCATTAATCCCTGTATATGTAGACAGATCAAATCTGACCTTTAAGCCCAGTTTTTACATGCTCTGATTGCCTAACGTGGTCTGGTGTTGCCTGTGGTCAGCTCTTGCAGTGAGCATTGGATCTTTGCCTGTTTTTTTAATGGCAGTGTCCTTCAGTTTTTCCCTTGTCTTTTCCTGGCCTGGCCTAAGCTAAAATCCTAAATCCAAGGCCTGCTTTCTAATGTTAGTTCCCTGTACACTTTCACCTTGTCCTTTAAAGTCAGGCAGTATTGCTGCCTGATTATGCCTGAACTTCCCCCAGGTGCACATGGTCTATGTGTTGATCCTTCTTTCAGACTTCCTATAGATTTCTTGTTTCTCTATTCTCTGAAACAAAGAGGCTGCTCTCCCTGACCAGCCTGATGAGCAGCTCTGCAGTGAGGACCTTGGGAGCTGCAAGGAGCCTTTATAGTGGTTGCAAGTGCTGGTGTTAGAAAGGCTGCAGAAACTGCAATAGGGAGCTGCAAGCACTAGAATTCTCCCTGTGGGAGTCACCCCACCTTGCATGTAGCAAGAAGCAGGCTTAGGCAAAGAAAGATGTTTTGGGAATGGTAGTGGCCTCTTGAGTCCGAGCCAGTGGTTAAGCCATAGGTGCTAAAAGGCAAGTAAACCAGCTGTGGATGAAGAGAGGATTTGTACAGTTCTAGCTCAAAAAGGTGTGTGAATTGCCCCAAATCAGTGCAAGATGCTCTGCCAGAGCAACTGTCCTGAAGTGTCCCAGAACTGCTGAGGAAAGTGTTTCCTGCACCCAGGAGTTTACCATCTTCTGGATGAGGCTGTTTGAGATAAGGACTTCTCTGAGGTGCTCACTTTAAGATCAGAATGTTAGAGTTTGGTTTGGCTCCTGCGTTTACAGCAGCAGGGTCAAGAAGACCATCCCCACTGCATGATGTGAAATGAGGATTGCTCCAGCAGCTGGGTAGAGGGATGGGAAACACAGTGGAAGTGCTTTGTGGGCTTCATTTAACCTTAAGCCCTCCGTGGGGAAGTACATGGCCAGCAGATTTGGGCTCTGAGTGGTACCTGTTTCGTCAAAGGACTGATAGAATTCACTTCTGCCCTTCCTTGGTGACCCATGCTGGTTGAAATCCAGACAGGGTTGCTGTAGGTAGTGCTGGTTGAGTCAGACAGGCAGGAAGCAGTCCTCGCTGTTCTGAGGTACCAGCCTTTTTTTGCATGTGAGGTGATGAGGGGCTGTGTAGGAGGCAGGTTGTCTCAGGTGCTCTCTTTTTCCTTCTAACATCCGCATAAAATTGGAATCCCGTAAGGACCACAATATAAAGATGTGGAGTGGATGCGATTCTGGTGAAAGAAGCCTGCATGCTCTGCTTTGGTTCCTTGCCAAGGTATCTGGAAGTTACCCTGAGATGGTAGCTGGGTTTCCCTGTGCTGGAGGTGTCATAAGGTGACTGGAACAAATGAGGAAGATGAGAGCAGGTTCAGAAGATGCTGAGGAGTGCTGCTGGACATCACCTGCAATGATGAATAGTCATTCTATTGGATGTGATGGCACAAGAGTGCAGAACAGCTGAGATGGAGAAAAACACCTTCTAACTTGTGCAGCCTGACATACCTGTAAAGGATCCAGAAGCCTGTCTTATTTAATAGAAACAGTTCTCTAAGCCAGAGCCTGCAAGAATGGCCATGGCCCAAAGAGAAATCTTGTGTGAAAAAGAGAATCATGTTCTTAATAGTCGTATAGTGGGCGTGTTCCCTTGGAGAGGGGATTATGCCTCCAGGCTCCTTCCAACAAGGCGTCTGGAGTTTTCTCGGCAGGGTACATGCCTGAGCACACGTGCGTGTTTGTGGTGTTCCTGAAGAGCCATTCACAACGTGACATTGAAGCAGGGAGCGTGAGTTAAAGCCTGCTACATGCTTTGTTTCTTCCTTTCTAGCAGAAGCCTTGTCAAGTTCCTGCTGGAGTTAGTAAATGCATGAACCTCAACTAAGGGCTTTCTTCTAAGGGCTGCCTAGAAGAGCTGCATCTGCACTTTGTCTGCTGGGCTGCTTGCAAGTGTCATTTGTTGGCTTTGTTGCCTTCCCTTCATTGTGCTGGGCTCCCCCTTTCTGAGGGCTGCAGCTGCATTCCTGTTCAAAAACATTTTCCTTTCACTGGCTAGGCAGGAGTTAACAAAGTGAAGCCGAAGTGCTTTGCAGACTTGCTGCCGCATGCTTGTGATTTATGGGGAGAGAGGGACCAGTCTGGACAAAGCTGGGGTTTGCTGCCATCTAATTGCAAAATGCTCTGAAGTCAGAATTGTCCCAGGAATGTTTAGTAGAACTTAGAGGGATTTAAATCTGCTTTATTACTAAGTATGGACCGCTGTTAACAGTTGCAGTAATAATGACTGAATTCTCTTTCTCACTTCCAGTGGTGGTGTTATGATTTACATTGACCGAATAGAAGTTGTGAATAAACTGGCACCATATGCAGGTATTTCCCATCCTGTTTCAACAAGCAACACTGTGACTGTCTTCACCCATCCCCTAGCAGTTCTGTCTTGGTTTGCAAGACTTCCTTCTGTCTTGCTACCCTTCTGGTTCCAAGAATGATAACATTTAGTTTCATATATGCAAGCCCCAGGTGTGCAAAGACAAAGGTAAATTCTAGGCTTCCTCCTCCCCTGTATGGTTAGAAATGGGATGGGTGCTCATGTAATCCTGTTTATTGCTGCTGAAGTTGAGACTGCCCATGATACTAAACACAAGGGATAAATTCCTTACGTGCTTGCCAGCTCAGCTCCTGGGACATCACAAAGGCAAAGCCCACCTGGGAGCCTCTTGCCTTCTTACTTCACCAGCTGCTGAAGCACAGACCCAGACAGCTTGTTTTTTTTTTCAGCAGCATAGTTTAATGCAAAATGTTAGCACTACTGAGTTATCAAGGGGTGAACTCGTGTTGTAATAATTCATGTTAGATCTTAGGCAGTTCTTCACTATGAAGGTGCTGAGGTGCTGGCACAGGGTGCCCAAGAAGCTGTGGCTGCCCCATCCATGGCAGTGTTCAAGGCCAGGTTGGACACAGGGGCTTGGAGCACCCTGCTCTAGTGGAAGGTGTCCCTGCCCGTGGCAGGGGTTGGAACTGGATGAGCTTTAAGGTTCTTTCCAACCCAAACCAATCTGTGATTCTGTAATTGTGTGAATGATACTTGTTTTCACTTAGCAGATCTGTTCCTATGCATGCAGGTCCTGGATAGGCTTTATTGTTTCACTAAGGCAGATCATAAACCAGGACCAGGCAGTATATCATGCTGTGATTACTCTGAACTTTGAAGTCATATGATCCCAGCAGCAGTGGTGGAGGGGACCTCTGCAGGTATCTCCTCTGACCTTCCTCCCAGGCTTCTCATTAACAGCTGGGCAGGGCAGCTGTGTCTTTGTGCAGCCACATCCTGAAAACTCCCCCCAACATGTCCCACTGCTGCACTACTTTCCTAATGTTCTGAGCTGTTGTTTGCAGTAGTGGCATTGCAGAAAGTGTTACATGTCGGTGGTGACCTGTGATAATTTTCTTGCTTCCTTAGTGTATGATATTGTGAAAAACTACACTGCAGACTACGATAAGACCTTGATCTTCAACAAAATTCATCATGAGCTGAATCAGTTCTGCAGTGCCCATACTCTGCAGGAAGTATACATTCAGCTGTTTGGTAAGTGGATGACAACTGGATGTACCCATCAAAGGCTGTGTGATCTCCCTTGTCTTCCAGGGAATATGTTAGAGCAGGCTCCTGTGAGCAAACAGCCACTGTGCTGGTGTTGCAGTATATCCATGTGCTGCTTCTTTGTAACTTTATGCTTCAAAGATTCAGATTTGTCATTTCATATCTGCGCATGGGAGTTTGATTTCAGGCCTATTCCACTTAGGCCTGAATTCTGGATGCACAAAGTAGCCTCCCTGCTTTTGTGTGTGCAGTCATGGCCATTGCCTTCACTGTGATGATGATCTTATTGTGTCTACTTCTACTTTTAGGCCCCTATTCTGTTTATGAATCAATTTTTCTACATTAAAAGCTTCTTTATGGCTGTTTTTAGCAAGTGAGACTCAAAAGGGACGTGACATGACCTCAGTTTGCTGCAGTGCTGTTTTTCTCACAAGGGGTAGCAGTGGTTCAGGAATGAGCAAATTCAGTGTTTTGCTTCTTGGTACCTGCTTGTGCCCCAAAGATGGAACAGTACTATGTTCCTTCTTGAGTCCTTCCCCTTCTTGAGAGCAGGGGAAAATAAGTTTATGGAAGATAAAAAGTTAGTAGAGTGTAATTAATGTTAAGGGATTAAGTCTTTGAATGCTCTACTCAGACTTAACAAATAGCTGTGGTCGGAGAGGAGTTTCTGGTTATTACACACAGCTTAATCATTCCATAGCTGGCCATTTCTGTGGAAAGATCTTCCTGGAGCTTGGAAGTAACAAAATTTCTTTCATTTTAATAGCAGGTACTGGATCCTGCAGGTTTACCAGACACTTGAGGCAGAGTTAGCCACTGGCAGCAGGGTTGGTGTGGCTCTGGCTAGGAATGGATAGACTTCTGCCACGGCTTTTTCTTGCTGAGACACTAAAAAACGTTTGGTCTTAGCTCAGACACTATGAGTTCATCAATAACTGAACCTTTTTAGAGACACTAGATTCTGGCTTTGCTTTTGGGAACATCTTCCAGGTATATAGGAAGGAAAACAATGTACCTCGGTGAGCTTAAAAGGCTTACACCACAGAGATACCTGCTCTTCAAGACCAGCTGACTGTGCCACACAAGCTGTAGGAGAAAAGATGGTAAGCTGAGTGGTCTCTCTTTTGCTCCAAACACAGATCAAATAGATGAGAATCTGAAGTTGGCCCTGCAGAAGGATCTCAATGTCATGGCACCGGGTCTCACTATCCAGGTAGGTTGATTCCCTAACAAAGACTGTTGTTTTTCCATCTCTAATTTGCTCATCTTTCACTAGACTGATGAGGTTTCTTGCTTTCATTTTCCACATAACCTGAAGCTGTTGAGCCTTGAGTTGAGGTTTGTCAGTTGAAGACGGTCAAATAACAATTACCACTTCTGAACATTGGTTTTATGTTAGGGGAAGACCTACAGGATTGAGAAAAGGACCTTTTAGGCCACAGACCTTCAGGTATTGGCTTTAATTTGCAAAGAGCCAGAAAATGTCTTTATTTAAGCTACTTTTGACACCCCTGCAGAGCTGGGTGCTCCAGTGTGCACGGTTCCTACAGGTCATCGAAAAAAAAAAAAGAGGTCTTCCATCTTTTCTGCACTCATACCAGAGATGGGGAAAGGTGTTTTATCCAAAGTGGTTTTCTGCTTACACTTAGAAAGTCATGTTTAATCTTAGCCAGGCTATGGGACATACTGGCTTTTTGGCATGTTGAAGTTCAGGGCAACCAACTGAGAAAAATATACCTTAGGCATGCAAGGGCTAAGATGGAAATCTCCAGATTGCCACTGAGGAGAACTATGAGACTGTTTTGCTGTTCTTTTTGCCGCATTTAGGTAGGCTGGCTGGCTGGCTGCATGCAAGGAGGGGAAACCTCCTGTTAATAGTATGGGTAATGCTACAGTAGATACTGTTCTGCTTTGGGGCTCAGTTGTGCACAGGCTTGCTCTGACTTGATAAGAGTGAACCACAGGCAGCGCTGTATCACAAGGAAGTTGAGATGGCACAGCTCTTCAAACACCCAAGTTAACTTGCACTCGGTTGCAGCAAGATTTCATACAAAAGTTCACTATAAGAGGTGCAAAGACAGGAAGTGTGAACTCTGAGAGTGGCTGTGCTTGTCTGTGTTGTACAAGAGGGTTAGGAACCATTATGTCTGGTCTTGGATCCATATGGAGATGTGTAGAACACAACAGCTGGTTTTGCAAAGACATTCTTTAGTTATGCTGCTCCCACCAAAAAGTTTACTTTGAAATGCACTCCCTTTGTCTGTTTTCAATAGGCTGTGCGTGTTACAAAACCCAAAATTCCAGAAGCCATCCGAAGAAATTTTGAGCTCATGTGAGTAGCTGTACATAAAATTGTATGGATTAGTTTTGAGGGTTCAGCATGGGCATAATCCTAGTAGAAAGCTCTTACCTGGTGCTTAGGTGGGAGGTGAGGTTAATGAGTCCTTGGCTAGGTGCACTTCCCATTCTGTTTCTCCATTTCCATATCTCTTTCACCTGGAAGCCTTTCGGCCCTTCACAAAGGTGTTTGTTAGCATCTACAGAGACTGTATCAAGGCTATGTTCCTCCTCCTTTATGATGTATGATGTGCTATAGAGAACCTGTAGACGACTCGTAAACAGAGCTCAGAAGTCTTGATGTCCCTAAGGCCCCTCCAGCAAACTCACAGAGTTGCTGACAGATTTTACTCTGAGACATTCCCATGGAGACCTACTGTCCAAGTCCTTTTCCAAAGCAGGACCAGTTCCTCAGCTGTAGCAGGTCACTGGGTCCAGGCAAGTCAGGACATCCCTGGGGATGGAGATTCCCAGCTGCTAAGGCTTGCACAGGGATGGGCTGTTTCCTTGGATCTGCCTGGTGCTTCCTGTGCTGCAACTTGGCTGGTGCCTCTGGGGCTCCCACATTGCCCCTCTGAGCAGAGTCCAGCCCTAGTACCTTCAGGGGCCCTTTTGGGCAGGAGGAGGTGTGGTTGGATTCCACTTCGCCTCCTCATCCCCAGCCCAGTTCCTGCAGTCTCTCCTCATATGCTCTGGCCTTTATCCTGTGTCTGCAGTTGCCCTACAGTGGACTTGCTTCTCATCCTGAGGGCCTCAAATTGGATATAGCATCCAGTTGTGATTGTATATAGCATCCAGTTGTGATCATATATAGCATCCAGTTGTGGCCTCATCAGTGCCAAATAGAGAGCAGGTCATAAACACTTCCCTTGTCCTGCTGGCTACACATTGGCTCATACAACTGAAGACAGAACTAGTCATAATGGTTGTGAGGAAATGATGCTGGCAACTGCTTGGCTGCTTGTTTCCCCTCTCATGCCCTGATTTGAAGAGCTGCCCACCAGCTCTGTTTCCCTGTTTCTCACCCTGCAGGGAGGCTGAGAAGACCAAGCTGCTGATTGCAGCCCAGAAGCAGAAGGTAGTAGAGAAAGAGGCAGAGACAGACCGGAAGAAAGCACTCATTGGTATGTCACCAGTTGGGAGTACTAGTGGACAGGTGCCACACTGAATTTCCATTCCTACATCCCTCAGGAAGCCATTGTCTTCCATTGCTGAGAGCTCCCTGAAGGAGGCCCAGCCAGGCTGTATCAACAGTCATTTAGAAAATACAAGTGTTTGTGCTGCTGTATCTGTGTCTTGCCTCCCTCCCCATAGCAGCAGATACCTCTGTCCTACAGCGGGGCTTCTGCTACAGCAGGCCAAGAGGTAGCAGCTCTGCCAGAAAAACTGCTTGGGCTTAAAGCTAAATGTCCCTGTGTCACACTTGTAAAACAGACATCAGCCAGTGCTGCTCTCAAAACATCAGCACTATGCTTTCTTCCTGTAACTATATTGCTTGGAGCACAAACTGGTGTAGTGTCTGAGCAGAAAGGGAAGCAGCAGAGAGCAAACTGCTGGTGTGGTAGATCCTGTGACTGGATGCTGTGTCAGGGTGCTGATGCTCAAGGCCTGAGAAGTGAATGTCTGAGCTGAGCCTGTTGTGATTGCAGAGGCTGAGAAGGCTGCTCAGGTGGCCAGGATTCAGTATCAACAGAAGATTATGGAGAAGGAAACAGAGAAGCGGATTTTTGAGATCGAAGGTAACTGTGCTACTGGGGTCATCTTCCAGTAAAGGGCAGGTAAAGGAACCTCAGAGCTGGGCTATGAGCTATCACCTTCCTGCAGAAATAATAAAGAGTGCAGTAGCATGAGGGTCATTCCTCCCTCCCCCTTGCAGATACCTCTCCAAGAAGCTGGCAGTGCAAGTGCAAGGCCAGCCATGGGGTGGCTGTCCCCATGGGACAAAGGCTCAGTGATGGGGCTACTCACTTGTTAATGATTCTTTTCCTGTCTGTTGCTGTGTTAGATGCTGCATTCCTAGCAAGAGAGAAAGCAAAAGCTGATGCAGAGTTCTATGCTGCTTGGAAACTAGCTGATTCCAACAAGGTGAGCACTTGAAGGCTGGTCACTTGAATGAGAGGATTTGCTTACTCTTTCCCTCTGCACAGGCAATTAGGTTAAAGTGGGCAGCACTGAAGAAACACCTGGTTTAACAACCCAGGAAGCAGCTGCCTGAGAAGAAAGCTAATGATGTGGGGCCCAGAAGGTTGTCTCTTACAAGCTCTGGTTTCTCTTTTTGTAGCTAAAACTTACCCCTGAGTATCTGGAACTAATGAAATATGAAGCGATAGCTGCCAACAGCAAGCTGTATTTTGGTGACCGCATCCCCAGTGTATTTCTGGATTCCTGTGCCTTCCAGCAAGCCAGTCTGAGGACTGCCCAAGAAACCAACCTTCCTTCACAGGAGGCCCCAGAGACCTCTGGAGAAAACCACCTCAGAGCAAAGGAAAGCACAGGCTGACAGAGGTAGAAGGATACCTGGTGCAGCTCAACAGCTAGCCTAGCTGTGAATGGGGATGTTGCCCTGTGCTTCTGGGGCGGATGCAGCGTGGACATCCTGTGTATAGGTGGCAGTTGGGTTGATTTTCTTCTAGCAACACATTTGCAAGCGCTCTGCCTCTTCGGTTTCTTCCCCTGTTAAATTGGTGCTTCCAAATGAGGGATAATCCTGTACTAACATACCTATACTGGAATATTAAAAGACAGACACCAGGAAAGCCTTCCCTGCAGTAGGTGCAGTTATTTAGTGAGCATTACTCTGGAGGTAGGAGATGTGGCTTTGAATGCCGTGTTGCTACACACTGGGCATTCCCCAGTGCTCCTCAGTGAGGCCAAGTGAAGAGGTTTCCTTCGTCCTGCCAATGAAGTTTTGTTGTGAGGACTCTGAGGCAGGTTTCTACCGGCGCTCTCTAACTCTCCTCAAGGACTCCAGTGGAGCGGGCTCTCCTTGGCTGTCCGTGTTGCTGCTCAGGCCAAGGCCTGGCCTGACAAGGAATGGTTTGGTGTGGAATAGGTTATTTGAATAGGATCTGCATCGCCATTATCTTCTTTCCTGTAGGCAGTGACACTAGATAACAGCTTTGAGCAAGCAGTCCTTAACAGGCTTCTGTAACTTCCTTCTCCAAGCAAGAGCCTCCCACTGGCTGCCTGTGACTGTAGTTTGTTTCAGCTGGGTGGCTGGGTCTCACCTTGCATCCTAAACCAGATTTCAGAGTGCATGGAGCACCTCCAAGCAGCTGTTTGGGAACAGAGCTGGGAAATCTTTGCTTAGGCCACAGCCTCCCTGTAGGTTTTTTCACCAGGGAAAGGGAGCTGAATTTCCACTGCTCTGCCTCGCTGGCAAAGTGAAGGAGAAGAGTGAAGGGACCCTGCTCTGCAGAAGATCAGATGTGTGACACCTCAACTACAAAGTAAGGCATCATTGCCCCCAGTGCAAAATCCACTGCTCCAAGAAGTGGGACCTGCATCCTGTGTCTTTGAACAGCCACAACTGGGAATGTGTCACTGGTCCTCTCATCACTGGCCAGGCTTTGCTGGCGCTTTTGTCTCCTGAGCGGTGCTGGCTCATGATCATACCTCCTGATGTGTGTTGTAATATATCCAACCCCTGCTCCCTGTGTGCAGTGCAGAGTGAGAGAAAGAGACATACTTGGGGGGTGTATCTGCTGGTACAGTCTGCGTTCCTCTTTTCCTCTGTCCTTCCCTTTGCCTGTGAGGATGTGCGTGTTCCTAGGACCTGCTTCTCTTTGTGTTCTGCAATGATTCCAGAAGATGGTGGCTGGGGAAGCCAGCTGGCAAGAGCTTGAGCTGAAAATGCCATTCCCCAGCTGGTAGCACCACAGCATGGCCTGTCTCTGAGCCCACCACTTGTTCAGAGACCACCTTTTCTCCTCAGCCTGGAATATCTGTATGTTCATCCTGCTTTCCGGTCCCCTCGGGTGCCCCTCAGATGGTCTGGTTGGTGCTGGTGTTGAGGCCCCTGGCACCATCTGCAGCCTTGTGACAAGGGGAGGAACATGCCTAGCTTTTGCCTTGGTGATTCAACCCAAAGCATCCTAAATTTCACCTCTGCTAATGCTTTACCCCAGTGAGTTGTGTGGGCTTCAGGCTTTCCAGTGCTGCTTTCCTATCCTGTGTGGCTTGACTCGGAGGTTGGCAGTGTCTCTTCCTCAAGGAGGTTTGGTTACATGTGGTGCCTTATGCTGTCTTAGCTCCTGTCCTGGCTGCCTCTCCTCCATTTCTGGGGCAAAGCAGGGATACATTGACCCTGCCTCTCCTGCTAGCCAGCTTGGCTAACTGTAGGACTTTGCAGCAGCTTCAGATGATGTTCTTTCTTCCTGTCTGCAAACCCAAGGCCCGGTTCTTTCTGTGCTCCAGGACACCAGTTGTTCTTCAAACCCAGCCATGGCAGGAGCCAGGGATCAGGTCCTTGTCCCAGTAGGAAGCCAGCTGAAGGTGCTGAGGTTGTGCATGAGTGTGCTTCTTCATGCTGCAAGAGAGAGAGGATGCTGCTGTTGCCAGGAGGTGCCTCCAGTCTTGGTACACTGGGGGTTGGTGGCACAGCCATGTGCCATGCAGATCCCAGCCTGGGGAGCACTGACCTGAGCTTTTGCATGATGGGGCTCATGCCTTCACCTGCCAAAGGCTCCTCCTGGTGAAGAGCAGCCTTTGAAAGATACTGGTGGGCAGAGGAGCAGGAAGGATGTCCTTGTGATGCCGGAAGGCAGCATGGCAGGCACAGCAAGGGCGAAGCTGAAACCTTTGACTGATGGCAGGAGTGGGCAAGCACAGCATGGGCCCCTTTAGACCCTGCAGTGCCCTCCCAGGGGAAGGGGCCAGGACAGAAAGGGGGTGGCAGTGTATTTTGTAGCTGTGGTGTTTGAACTGTCTCCTGGAAGCATTCTTTTGACTTGCAAGGTCCTTTTTTTCCTGTGGGAAGGGCTTCAAGGGGCCAGTGGAGTCACATCTCTTTGACCCTCCACCTCTGAAGCATTGCTGGCTTGCAGCAGGTGCTTTGCAGCAGGAACACATCCTCTCCTCACCCCACAGCAGCCACTTTGGTTGAATTTTGGGACAAAGGCAGGCTTTATAGAACAGAAGCACTCCTGGAGGGGACGGAGACATGTCTCCATGTCGTGCTCACTGAGGTTTGGTGCTACCCAATGTTGGTATCACACCCTGGGCATCAGGCTGGGTGGACAGGGGTAGGTTCTGCCAGCCTGGAAAAGACAAGAAGGGCACAGGGGCAACCCCTAGAAGCAGTAACCAAGCAGCCCCCAGTTCTTCAGTGGTCAAAGTGAGATCCCCAGGCAGGGAGCAGGAAAGCCCCCCAGTCCAATGGAGGGAGGGCTGCTTCCCTTTGGATCTGAGCCTTGCTTGCCCTCCCTACTGCCTTTCAGATGCATCCATGGTTATCGCTGGCTAATTGTCATCCTGCTCTGTTTGGGTGTGCAACAGCCCCTTCCTATCCCTGCACTCTGAGGGGTGCTGGGTGCCACCAGGAACATGGGATTGAACTGTTTTTTTCTCTCTGTTCAAAAGGTCTGTGTGCTTCTGTGAGTAAAGGGGTCTGCCACTAGATCCACACCTTCTTTCAGGAAACATGGAATCATAGGACGAGTTGGGTTGGAAGGGACCTTAAAACCATGATACATATGTTCAAGTTTACATGCACAGTGTTAAGTTCTTTTGATAAAGGAGAATAAAACTATTTTGTTAAGAGTTTCCTTGGTGGCTTTGTGTGTCCTAGGGCTGGTTTCTCTGTAGGCATGTGGAGGGGCGACATCTGTGCTTGTGTGCCTGCAGTGATAGTGCTGGGACTGTACTTGCGGACCCCTGCAAGCCTCAAAACAAACCCCAGGATGGTGCTGAGCAGCCAGGGCAGCCCTTAACAGCAGAAACGGAACAGGCCTTTGTCCTCTCAAGATCATGCTGCCACTTGCTCCCCCATCCATTGCTTGTATATGGCCTATGGGGGGATGTTTCCTGGTTGTTGTGGTGTCCTAGGGGATAGTGGGCTGGTCCCTAAGCACCAGTGTTGCTGCAAGTATGGATGCTTGTGTTGGACCAGGATGGTGCAAGCTGAACTGGAGTCGTGGAGGCCAAGCCTTCGTTCACAGAACAAGTCTAAGGCCTGGTTTGACAGATGAGCCCCCACGGCTCCGGCACAGGATTTGGGAGCTCAGCTCCAGCCCTTCTCCCCCATGAGCCCCACTGCCACCCTTCTCCTGAGAGACACCTCTTGGTACATTCAGTCTTTATTGGTATAAAAGCCTTCAAACCGAAATCATGTAAAAAACAGGGAGGTTTTACAACAAAATGGTCACATCAGGGTCATAAGTTAACAGCTGCAGTAAAAAGGCTCCCAGGAAATTCCCTTTCCGAACGGTGACTCAAGTGGTCAGTGCAGAGATAAAAGCCCCGTTAGGAAGCCCCAGCCTGGCTTGGACCTGCCACAGCCCCCAGCGGGACTGTCCCAAGTCGGGGCAGCGGGAAGGGGCAGGAGGAGCAGGACACATTCAGGACGTCGGGAGAGAAGGCAGCAGCTCCCAGGGCACAGGAGAGCCTCAGAACCAGCACTGGCATTGTCCCTGCTCCCGGTGTCCTCGGGAAGCCCCACGGCGCTGTGGAGTCTGTTAAGGCACAACTCGAGAATCTGTAAACACTGGTGCCCCCCTGGGGCATTGCAGAGGGGTTCAAGTAAGGGTGGAAGCGAGGCGGCAGCTCCCTGCGGGGCCTCTCAGCAGCCCGGCTGCGGTGGCACATGGAGCATCCTTGGTCACCTCCTGGCCACGGGGGGCTTCAGGGCCACCTTCGGGGGTGTGCCCCGCTGAGACACCAAGGCAGGGGATGGTGCAGGGGCTGCTCCTGGTGGCAACCTGTCACTGCACGGGGCCTTGCTCTTCAGGGCTGGGAGAGGCTTGCGGGGTGGCTTCGGCTTCGCCTGTCGAGAGGAGAGACCCAAGGTACACAATCCCAGCCTGGGTTGGGTTGAAAGGACCTTAAAGCTCCTCCACTTCCAACCCCTGCCACGGGCAGGGACACCTTCCACTAGAGCAGGTTGCTCCAAGCCCCTGTGTCCAACCTGGCCTTGAACACTGCCAGGGATGGGGCAGCCACAGCTTCTCTGGGCACCCTGTGCCAGCGCCTCAGCACCCTCACAGGGAAGAGCTTCTGCCTAAGAGCTCATCTCAGTCTCCCCTGTTCTGGCAGGTTAAAGCCATTCCCCTTGTCCTGTCCTTACAGGCCCTTGTCCAAAGCCCCTCTCCAGGTTTCCTGCAGCCCCTTTAGGCACTGGAGCTGCTCTGAGGTCTCCCCTTAAGGAGCCTTCTCCAGGCTGAACACAAAGTCCTTTGCCTGGGCACCAAGGAGGGATTCAGGCGGGGACGGGACAGAGGACGGCTCCCTCCCCCCCCCCCCCCATCAGCCACGGGCTCACTCCACCGACGTGCCTCACACACGTGGGGCTGCCAGGCCGGGGGAGGCCGCCCCACCACAAGGTGTTTACCTGCAGGGGCTGGCCTGGAGCCGCTGGAGATTTCACCGGGGGGACCGGAGCCGGCGGCTGCAGAGGCGGCAGGAAGAGGGGTGAGGCCCTGCCCTCCCACCAGCACCCCCAGGCTGCCCGTGCTCCAGCCGGGTCCCTCACCTCTGGGGCCGGGCGGCAGGGCCCAAGGGCCCGGGCCCCACGAGGGGCCGCCGTGCTGCTGAGCAGGCTGGGGGGACCGATGTCGCGGTGGGAGAGCGGCTGCCGGGGGCGCCGCGTGTGGCCGCCCTCCGGGAAGAGCGGGTTGGCCAGGCCTGCGGTGGGGCCGCTGGAGCTCCTCCTGTGGGGCACAGGGACGGTGTGGAGCTGCTTCAGACACCCGCTGCGCTCGGCCCCGCCGTGGGGCGGAGGGGGCGGGCAGTACCCTTTCTGGAAGCGCTTTGCACCCCTGCCTCTGAGGAGCAGGATGCCGCCGCACAGCAGGATGCCGCAGGGCGCCAGCACGGCCAGCACGGCCACCACCACCACGCTGCTGCTCCCTGTGGAGACACGGTCGGAGTCGGGACAGGCATCCCGAGGGATGGAGCAGCACCTGCCGGCACCGCCGCAGGGAGCCAACCCCTCCACGTGGCTGGGGGAGCTGGTGCCGGCTGTGCAAAGGGGGTTCCGTACCTGCCGCCATCCCCGAGATCTGGTGCTCGCAGTAGGGCGCTGCCCAGCCCGGCTCACAGTGACATTCCCGCTTGTGGTTGCACACCTGGGATGAGGGAGGAAGGCATCAGGGCAGTGAGCGTGCTGCAGGAGCCAGGAGCAGTGCTCTAAAAGACCTCACAGCATACCCCATGGTTGTTGCACTTGGCCGAGCAGTTCTTGTTGCCGTAGACCAGGAGGTTCTGGCAGCGCCCGCCATAGCAGACCTGTGGATAGACAGGGTAGCTCTGAGGCTGCCCTGGGTCCCCATGGGGTGACCACAATCCCCCCCCCCCTCCCCCCGACACCCCAGCATGGATGCTCACCATCTCCTCTCCACACTTGGCACCAGTGGGCACCAGCCTGAGCTTGGCCACCACCTCGTTGGCATCACTGCTGGCGATGACCGCCTTGCACTTGAAGCGGCCGAAGAAGAGGGAGTAGGAGCCAGCACCAAGGACGGGGCTGGTGTTGTCACTCAGGCACAGCAGCGTGCCGCACTTCACGTCCCTGCGGGAAAGCACCCATGGGAAGCAGCAGCAGCAGCAGCAGCAGGGTTTGATCAACCCTGTGGTGCCAACGCAGACGCCACCACCACCCCCCAGACCCTTACTTGGGGCTGCAGGGCCGCTTCCCGTACTCGGTGAGGCAGTGGAGATGAAGGTGTTGCTCACTGTTGTGCTTAAAGCAGACATCAGGAGCCACTTGGGCCTCTGTGGGACACATGGAAAGGGTCACACAAAAGGAGCCAGAGCTCACAGCGGTGCTACTCTTCAGCATCCGCAGCCACAGCGCTGGGATAGAGGAGGGGACCACAACCAGGCGATGGCCAGGTGAGCCGTGGCTCCAGCACATCACCCAGTACGTGGGGTGAGGATGCTGCGGAGCTGGTACCTGCGCCCCAGAGCGCACGGCACTGCTCGCTGTGTGAGGGACAGGCCCCGTTGTAGCAGTAGCCATTGCCGTTGTGGCAGGAGATGCCATTCTCCTGGAACACATCCTCTGGGCACTCGGCGCTGAGCCCGGTGCAGTGCTCGGGCAGGTCACAGTCGTTCTTGCTGGCCCGGCAGAGCACACCAGCAGCCTTCACCTGCACAGGAAAGGGGGTGTCAGTGCTGCCCCAGTGCTCTCATAGCCCCACAGCACACAGGCACCACAGCCAGGCAGCATCCCAAAGATCCAGACACCACCAGGCCTCAGACTGGGTCATCCCATGATTAAATCTCTCCCTTGCGCTCTGCTTTTAGTCTGGAGGGTCTGCCAGAGGGTGCCTTGCTTGCTCCTTGCCCAAGGGTCCTCTTTGTGAGGGTGCTGAGGCGCTGGCACTGGGTACCCAGAGAAGCTGTGGCTGCCCCATCCCTGGCAGTGTTCAAGGCCAGGTTGGACACAGGGGCTTGGAGAAACCTGCTCTAGTGGAAGGTGTCCCTGCCTGTGGCAGGGGCTGGAACTGGATGAGCTTTAAGGTCCCTTCCAACACAAACCAGGCTGGGATTCTACGATTCCAACCCTGTCTCTGCACATCAAGGCATTTCTTATGCCTGTATGCAGAAACCAATGTATTTAACTCAACTTTTTTTTGGATGAATGGAATAGAAGAGGTTTCCTGCATCAGGAATGGGCTATGCTGATTGTTCTTCAACACCTTCCATTCTGCACCTAACCTAGCAGAGCTGGTAAGCCCGGGGTCCAGGATGCCAGAAGCAGAGGCTGCTTCACTTCCCCAGACTCTTTCCAGCAGAGATGCTGACTGTCCATGACATGAGAGCTGATTCCTCTCCTGAACCATTGTGGGAGAAATCACTCTATTTGGAATCGCTCCATTTGGCTCTGGGCAAAGGAGGCTGCTACAGAGGTACCCAGGTTCCCCAACAGGCTATGGATGCACCCTGCCTCCACTGGGAAGCTCTGCAGGAGCTCTAGCTGGACCCCATTGGCACGTACCTTGCAGTCCTGGCAGCATTCCCCCCGGGCACACTCGGCTCCCTCTCTCAGCTGGCAAGTGGTGGCGTTGCAGCAGTTGTCAGAGCACTCCTGCGACACAGGGAGCGACTGGAAGCCTCCTGAAACCCCTCTTGAAGGCCCTTTCCTTCCCTTCTGGGGCTTGGAGCAATCTGCTCTAGTGGAAGGTGTCCCTGCCCGTGGCAGGGGTTGGAGCTGGATGAGCTTTAAGGTCCCTTCCAACCCACACCGGTCTGTGATGCTGTGATTGCGAAGATGAGCCTTGGAAAGCACAATGCCCAGGGAAGGGACTTGCACAGCCTTTTCTGAGCCTGAATGATGCCTCTCAGGTCCCCGCCACCCCTGCTCTTCCTGGGCTCTGGGAGCACATCCCTACCTCCGGCACGCCGCAGTCGCACTGCTCTCCCCGCTCCACAAACTGGTTCCCGCACACAGGCCCCCCATAGAGCTCGTCTGCCCTGGGGACGTTCAGCAGGCAGCTGGTCCTGGGGTCCCCGAGGAACTGCCACATGTCCTGCTCGCTGCAGCGGCTGAACAGCTTGGGGTAAACCAAGCTGAAGGGGCACAGAAACAAGGTAGCCGTGAGCAGAGCTGCAAGCCCAAAGGGTCCTCGCACCCAGCAGCCCAGGGGGAAGCTGGAGGGGCCACCAAAGAGACTCAAAGGCACCAACAGACCTTTGGAGTGCAGCTTCGAGTGGAGTGTCCATGTGGACCTGACCATCTCCCAGGCTTCACCCCATCAAGACAGTACTGGAGGATGCCTTTAAGAGTCTGCTGCCCAGGGATATTCCCCTGTCTCCTTCACTCACCCAACACTTGCTGCCATGACACAGCCTCCATCAGCTTTGGGGACAGGACAGCGGCAGCCGGCCACATCTTCATCGTGAGACATCCCCAGGTTGTGCCCCATCTCATGAGCCATGGTGGATGCAGCACCAATGGGATTTGTGCTGTGATCCTGTGGGACAAGAAGTGCAGTGTGGTTTAAACACCCTCCACGGCACCTCCATGGGGCCACTGGTGCTCTCCAGCTGCTCAGTGTCTGTGATGAGGCCCTGAGTGACATGGGGTAGTGGTGGCCTTGGCAGTGCTGGGGAACGGTTGGACTTGATGACCTTTCCAACCCAGCTGATTCTATTTGTTCCCTAATTGCTGCCATGGTGAGGTAAAGGAAGGCAAAAGCTGGACTTGTTCCCATGGGATGAGCAGCACAACCAGGATGGTGGCTGAAGAGCAATTGTAAACCAAGTCCCAGCCACTTGGCAGGTGGTGGGAGATGCCCTGTGCCGCAGAGCTGCTTGGGGAGGCTCTTCAGGGCTCAGCTATACCAGAGCCCTCCGCTGGCTTTCCATACTTTGACCCCCTGACACTTTGGGGGGGTGTCCTGGGTTCAGAGATGCCAGGAACCATATCCCTATGGAGGCTAAGAGGAAAGCTGGAGAGCAGCAGAGACCACCCCCCCCCCTGCAGACAATGGGACCATGCTGCCCTTCCCATGCATGCCTGGCCAGTGGGACCCACCTGGTTGACACCACCGGAGTCCCTGGTGCACATCACAAGCTTCTTGGCGAGCCCTACAGTCGTGCCATGGAAGTCTATGCCCCTGTGTGGGATGGAGATGCCACCGAGGCCACCAGTGTGTGGCCTGAGCGGCAGCAGGGCTGCAGAACAGTGCGGTGCTATCCCGCACGCTGTCCTTACGTGATGAGCTGGGCATTGTCATGAGGCTTCCTCCGCAGCAGCTCTGCCTCCCGCCAGTGCAGGAAGTTGTCCAGCGTCACCTCTGGGTTGGGGCTGACCACGATCTTGTCCTTGTAGCTCCACACCTCCAGGCCGATCAAGGCCACCCGCAGGCGAAGAGGCTGATAAAGCTGGGGCAGGAGACAGAGGCAGCACTTGGATTTCAGCTGCACCAGCAGAGGGAAGGTCCCACTTCCTCCCTTTGGGGAGCCACAGCCAAGCCCAGGACCCCAGGAATGGGTTGCCCAAGGAAGTTGTGAATGCTCCATCCCTGGTGGTGTTCAAGGCCAGGCTGGACAGAGCCTTGGGTGACATGGTTTAGTGTGAGGTGTCCCTGCCCATGGCAGGGGAGTCAGAACTAGATGATTTTAAGGTCCTTTCCAACCCAAACCATTTTATGATTCTATGACCCAACCTCACTGTGCAACACCAGCTCTGTCACCCCCTCAATATATAACACAAGATGGGGTGACTATGTAGACAGGGTTTACTTAGGAACTCTGGGCTCCCTCTTGGTCAGTGAAGCCTGCTCCCATGCTGCTGACCAAAGAGGATGAAGCAAGGCAAGCAGAAACCCCACCTTGTTGCATTGCATCCATCACCATCCCCTTGTTAACACCTATTCCAGCCTGGGAGTGGCCAGTCCTCCCAGGGGGGTTACAAGAAGACATTTCAGCTTCCTTTCCTTATGGGAGAGCTGGGATCCAGTTGTCCCATGCTCCTGAGGACCAGGGCTGAGCTATCCTGTTGGCCAAGGTATTTGAGATGGGCTCCAGCTCCACCACCCATGGCAGTCCCTCCTCTATCCTCTTCATGCCCGTGCTGGCACTGCAGGAGCTGGAAGGGCAGATCCAGACCCCTGGGCTCACCTTGTCAACATGGTTCACGATTTCCTTCATGCGGTTCTGCACCGTGCGCAAGTCCTTGTGTTTCCGGAACTATGGACACAGAGAGATTTCCAGGCTGGCTTCCACCTCCTCGTTGCAGTGGATGAGAGCAAAAGCACAGGCAGCAGCTTGCCCCAGTCCTGCTTACCTCTTCATTGTCCACAACCAGGACCAGCTCCACGTATCGGGGACCTTTGTGTAATGGAGTGGATTTCTGGAAGGGAAGAGGAAAGTGAGCACAAAGAGGGGCCCAGCTCTGTAGCTTGCTAAGCCCTTTTGCGGGATGTGTTGTATCCTAGGGCATCTTCCACTGTTATTCAAGGCTAGTGGGTCTTCTAGCTCTGCTTTCTGATGTTACTTTGCTGGGTATTTCAGTCATCTTCCAACATACATTCCAGTGTCTGAAGGGGGCCTACAAGGATGCTGGAGAGGGACTCATCATCAGGGACTGTAGTCACAGGACAAGGGGTGATGGGTTCAAACTGAAACAGGGGAAGTTCAGGTTGGAGATAAGGCAGAAGCCCTTCCCTGTGAGGGTGCTGAGGCGCTGGCACAGGGTGCCCAGAGAAGCTGTGGCTGCCCCATCCCTGGCAGTGTTCAAGGCCAGGTTGGACACAGGGGCTTGGAGCAACCTGCTCTAGTGGAAGGTGTCCCTGCCTGTGGCAGGGGTTGGAACTGGATGAGCTTTAAGGTCCTTTCCAACCCAAACCATCTATGGTTCTATGATACAAGCAAGAACCGAAGCCTGCTACTGGAGCAAAGCACAAGACAGATAGGCTTTGCAGGCATCATGGAGCTCATGGGGTAGCGGGATGCTCCTGCTACTGGTACAGTATCTGAGCACTTGTTCCCACCAGAAACTAGGCCACTGGGAGCAACCTGTGTTTAGATACCCAACCAACAATGCATGGGGAAGGAACATCTCCAGAAGATGTGGGATGACCCCACTCCTCCCCGGATGTCACAGGACGCAGGCTCTTGCAAACTCAGCTATCGGAAGGAGAAGCAATGCAATCCTTACCCAGCGGTGGAGCTTCATGGCTGCAGGGATTTTTGGCTCGTGGTCGTATTCCAGAGTGGCACCGGGCTCCCGGCATGTCCCGCGCTTCCCCCTCAGGTGAGCTGCTCTGTACACTGCGTGCAGGCCAGCAGCATCCTGCTCCAGAGGCTCCAGCAGGAACATGGTCCCATTCACCTGGAAAAACCCACTGCCAAGAGAGAAGGTGGTTGTCACATTAGGGAGATACCCAGCACACCCATAAGTGGCTGTGATACAAAACATAGCTGGAAATCCCTGCCCCTTCACAGGTTCCCACAGGCAGATGGGATGAGCTGCAGATCACTGGTGGGATGTGACAGGTTCTCCTGGCCGTGTGGATGAAGCCACACTCAATGCAAAGTCCCTAGCTGCCCCTGGGCAGTGCATGAGGATCCACAGAGGTACAAGAGCTCACAACAGCACAAGGGACTGGATGCCTCTTCCCTACAACCTCGCTTGGCCCAAGAGCACATCCAAGGATGGAGCTGACCTGGGGCATACCATGAGCAATAGGAAATGTACCCACAGCATTTGCTTTCAGAGGCTGCAGAGGCACCATTGGAACAAAAGGACTTTTAGGGAGGCTGGAAACTAGCTGCTGGGCTGGGAGGGAGCAAACTGTGGCACAGCATCTGTGGCTGGAAGCAAGGGAGCATCCTGTGCTTTGGGCAGCAGAGATGTGCCAGGGCTCAGCAAGGAGACCTGCTCAGCACTGCCAGGCCAGGTTTAACACAGAGTTTCTGCTGAAATGCTCTGGATTTCAGAATGCCTTCTGTAAGGTGTCCCATATGCCCTGCCTGCATCATCTTTGTCTCCTGCTCTGCCCATGCACATCTTAACATCAACATGGAGCTGTAGGGACAGGACAGGGGAATGGCTTTCACCTGTGAAGGTGCTGAGGTGCTGGCACAGGGTGCCCAGAGAAGCTGCGGTTGCCCCATCCCAGGTTAGATGGGGCTTGGAACAACCTGCTGTAGTGGAAGGCTGGCAGGGGGTTGGAGCTGGATGAGCTTTAAGGTCCCTTCCAAACCAAGCCATTCAATGGTTCTATGGGTCTAGGAGTTCAGCATGGCTCAGAGGAGATGCCAGCTGCCTGCAAGGCAGTGTATTACCATGAGCACACCTTTGTGCTGCTGGCTGCAGCACTCAGGGGTGAGTTTGCTCTGGTCTGCCCTGGGAATAGAGGAGGGAAATGGAAATGATCCTACCTGAGCCCGCCGCAGTTGCTGATGCTCGCCGCTGAGTTGGCGTGTCCTTGCACATGGCCCTGATAAAAGCAGTGGTCCTGCCGCCAGCAGAGATGAGAGGTGTGGAGGGGGAATGCATGGCAGGATCCCACAGGAGTGGGAAATCTGCTGTCCCTGGGGCCAGCCCCATACCTGAACATCCGGCTTCTCCGTGACTTCTGTGCCATCGGCCAAGTAGTGCGTCTCGGTGTAGTGCTGCCCCAGCAGTGCCCTGCAGGGTGGGGAAGGGGCATGAGCAGTGACTCCGGGAGAGGGTGGAAAGCAGAGCTTTGGGGATGAGGTTGGGTATGGTGGGCCCATGGCATCTCCCAGGGGGCTTCGGCAAGGAGGGGTAAACTAAAGGCTAAGGGCTGAGATCGCTGATGGGCGACACCAGGACCTGGAGAACTGATGCTCACAGCAAGCCTCCCCCTGGCCTACCCACACTCACTTGTTCTTCTCCAGCCTGAGGAGGTACTCCTTGCCTTCAGCACGGATGCTGTAGAGGACACGGTCAGGGTAGATGCTCTGTGGGAAAGATAAAGAACATCAGAGACCTGCTGTCACTAGGAGCAAAAGCTACAGAAGAGAGCCCCTGTCCTACCCAGAAAGGGAATGGGGTCTACAGTGGAAGGCAGCAGTGGGATAGGGAGCCTGGCTTCCCATCCTGGAGGCATCCAGCAAAAGCACAGGATATCAGAAGGGAAGAATTGCATGTGAGCAATACCACAAATCCCTGCACATCCTGAGATAAAGAACAGGTCACCAGCAGTGAAACAGAGTAGCAGTGGTTTCCTGCCTCAGACATGCGGCTGCATGAAACTAGTCTCCTACTCATCTGTCACAGAGGTCCTGTGCTGGGGACTGAGTTCAGCATTACTCACGGGCTGAATCATGAAGATCCCACTGCCCAGCAGCTCTCATTCCTTACCTCTGACCGATCTAACGTACAACACCACAGCTACAGAATAACCTCCTCTTTTTCTTCATCTCTACTGAGAGTCGATTTTAGTCTCAGCATGTGCTAGATCCCTCAAGCATCACCCTAGTGCTGGTGGAAGGGACCTGAAGGTCCAGCCTCCAGGCACTGTGCTTGGGTCAGGGTGAAGCCCTGAACCCTCAGGATGGAGATGTCTCTCCAGAAGAAACTTCCCTCTGGGATGCTTTGTGCTCTCTACCTGCGGAGCTTAGGCCGCAGACCTCCAGAGGTCCCATCCCACCACAATCATTGAGAGACGTGATGCTCCCTTGCATAGTGCCCCACATCAGGCTGCACCCTTGGCACCAGGGACCACTGCAGCACAGAAACCTCTCCTGATAGCATCTCAGCTCTTGCAGAATCCCAGAATAGAGAGCTGAGCGAAAGGCAAAGCAAACACTTCCCAAGGGCCAGCATTCTCCTGGATGAGGTGTGCAGCCTCTCCCCAGGGAGGATGATGGCACCTGCTGTCATATGGTGGCTCAGCATTCCCAGAGGGATGATCTACAGCCTGGCAGGAGCTGGGGCTGAGTGGGAATTCCTGCTGACTCAGCGCCAGTGGGGCCAGATGGGGTTTGCCCATCGCTCAGTTGCCTTCGGTTCTACCGGAGTTGCATTCCCAACCTAAAGCTATGGGCTGCCTGCCACAAAGCATCCTCTCTGCATGCCAAGTAGGTTGCAATGAGCCTGCCACGCTCATGGATCCTGGGCAAATTCTTCTCTTATGAGCAGTGTCTCCTGCCTGACGTGGCCATCCTGCCCTGTGTCCACCCGCAAAGTGATGCTTTGTTATTGCTGGCAGCGCCGGAGCCAGGAGAGGGCTTAGGGAATGGCAGGAAAGCCTCTGGAAGGGGGTGGTGGTTTCAGGGGCTGCCTGTTGGAGACAACCGCAGGGCAAGTTTAAAATAACACAGTCCTGATAAAGCTCCTCTGAATCAGCCCCTTCCTTATTCACACAGGCTCCAGATGGGAAGGGTTTGAAGCACAGTCCTGTAACCCCATGGTCGTGCTGAGCAAGCAAAGCAGAGCTGTGGCCACAGCACACAGAGAGGAGGGGTTTCTTCCAGACCCAGAGAGCTTGCAGAGGATTGGGATGGGATGCACCATCCCGCCCCATACAGGGTGTTTCTTCCCTGGGTAGGAAAAAGCAATGGATCTCACTAGGACAGCAGAAGTGGGGCTCATTGTACCATGCCACAGAACAATAGCATGGTTTGGGTTGGAAGGGACCTTAAAGCTCATCCAGCTCCAACCCTGTGCCATGAGCAGGGGCACCTTCCCCTAGAGCAGGGTGCTCCAAGCCCCTGTGTCCAACCTGGCCTTGAACCCTGCCACGGATTGGGTATTTACCACTTCTTTGGGAACCTGAGAAGTCAAGGTTCACAGTAAAGAGCTTCTTCCTTATATCCAATCTAAACTTCCCCTGTTTTTGTTTTAACCCGTTACCCCTTGTCCTATCAGTGCAGTCCCTGATGAAGAATCCCTCCCCAGCATCCCTATAGCCTTCAGTATCCCCTTCAGATACTGGAAGGCTGTTAGGAGGTCTCCACGCAGCCTTCTTTTCTCCAGGCTGAACAGCCCCGACTTTCTCAGTCTGTCTTCATATGGGAGGTGCTCCAGCCCCCTGATGATCCTCGTGGCCTCCTCTGGACTTGCTCCAACAGCTCCATGTCCTCCTCACGCTGGGGACACCTGAACTGCACCCAGTGCTGCAGGTGGGGTCCCACACATCACAGGAGCTGCAGCACAAGAGAAGGCAGGTCCCTGGGCCACCACTGTCCCTGCTCCTGCCCCATCTGGCCCTAGGGTGTCCTGCTGCTTGGCAGCTTTAGGAGGTCCAAGAACCCCCCAGTCCTAGACTCAATCCTGGTGCCACCAGGCAGACACCGCCCATGGCTGTCCTAAAGCACACAGCTCAATGTCTTCCCCCATGCTGCGGAAAGCAGAGGGATCCCAAGCTGGGTGAGCTCCCCTTTCCGGGAATGGGGGGATTGGTGCAGAGCTGCCCGGAGCGCCCGGCACAGATGGTGTCTCTAAATAGCCTGGGGAATGTTTATCTCGTGGACAAGTTTAGGTTTCTAGAGCAGAGAAAACAGATGCTTTTGGGGAGTGTTTTTGAAGCGAGTTTACCAGGAAGGGGTTGAATCACAGATGAAACGTGCTGTATGAAGACTTTACAAGGGAATGAATGCCCCCAACCCCTCCATCTCATCAGGTGTTCAAGCTGGTGCCTTTTGCTGCATGAAAGCATATTTGGCTCAACTGGCAATGAGGAAATCATCTTTGAGGTCAAGGCCATCATGCTATGGATGTCAAGCCCAAGCACTCAAACCTCCTGAGTCAAACCCCACATCCTTCCCCCAAATGACAAGGTTTCCCAAGGAAAACAACACTGGCTTCCTTTCATGTGGATTTCTGCAACTTTCTGATTCTTATTTCCCTGTCCCAAAGGACAAAAAAAGCCTCAACTTCAGCAACCACAGCAAGAAAAGTGCTTACAGCTCAGCGAGGCTTTGCACATCCCTCCTTAAGCAAAGACCAGATGTCACAAGATCACTGCAAGGCTACAAGAGGTGGAGCCGCTGGTTAACATCTCTGAAGAAAGCACTGGAGAAAGCAGCCCCCCATCTCTGAGAGCCCACCCTAACAAACACCTGCAGTGCCTGTGTTTGACCCAAAACAGCCCAGGAAAGCTGAGCTCATCGACTGCCTCTAGGGTGGAAGCAATGCAAGAAACTGAGCCACTCTGGCACAGAGCTAAGAGGGTCCAGCTTCAGGCCCACTGCTGTGGTCTCTCAGCTCCAAGCAAGGTGTGGAGCCAGGTTTTGGGAGGCAATGCTACTCACTGGTGGCACAGAGAGGTCCCTCTTCCACCGCGGCACCAGCACCCTGTGTGGCATCACTGTCTCGTACTTCTCAACATGGGTGAGCTTCTCCTCCAGCCCCGCAGCTCCACCTGGGAAAAGTCAAGGGGCTTTGAGCAGGGGTGCCCAACCAAAGAACAACCCAGCCAGCGGGTAATGGAAGTGATGCAGGGAAGAGCTGAGATAGCAAGTCCTGAAGTACCTGCTGGGAATGTAGCTCCCTGATGGGCTCCAGGGATCATAGAATCATAGAAGGGTTTGGGCTGGAAAGGACCTTAAGGTCATCTAGCTTCAACTGACACTAAACCAAGTCACCCAAGGCTCTGCACAGCCTGGCCTTGAACACTGCCAGGGATGGAGCATTTACGCCGCCCAGGGATGCTCCAGCACCCATCACAGCTCAGCACCACACATGGGCGAGCAGCATCCTTCCAGGCTGGAAAACCCTATGGAGACCCCGGTGTGCAAATAAAGGCAGAGTATTTCAGTTCCCCATCTCGATGCCACAGTCTCTGACTTGGCGTCTGGCAGCTGCTGGGGAGGGAGGGTGTTGTGGAGAACGGCTCGTGTCTGGGCTGACTCAGCCCTCCTCCCACCCTCGCCTGTTACCGTGCTCTCCGATAAACCCTTTGCCTTTCCCCCGCGGGAGCCCCGACATCGCCCCGCAGCCGTGCCCCTGCCCCGGGGGGTTCGGTGGGGCGGCGGGGCCCGGAGCTCCGGTGCCCGCGCCCACGGCCCCCGGCTGAGTCACCGGCTCCCCGCTCTGCGGGCACCGCAGGCTGGTGGTGACAAATTTCCTCCTCGCTGAGGTTGGTGCCTTTACATAACGGCGGGTGCCCCATCGGGGGTCACCCAGAGCGTGTCCCTCCGCACGAACCCTGCCCTCAGAGCCCCTTTCTCCACCCTTCGCCCTCGAGGGGGCTTGGGGAGGCGATGCCGCCCCGTCGCGCCGTGGCCACAGGGCTGAGCGCTGCAGACGGAGCAGGCAAAACCTCGCCGAGTTGCGACCCGTCCCCAACAAGCCGCCGCCGCCGCCGCCACACGCAGCTCCTTGTGCATCCCCTCTTGCGCCGCTTCCCACGCGGCTTTCCCCTTAATCCCCGTGGCGAAAAGCATCTTCCCCCATCTCCCACCTCCAACCCTGCCCCACGGCAGAACCGCCGACCCCTCCGCCTCGGGGGAGCCGGGCTTTTGTTCTGCGACCCCCAAACTTCACTCCCGCCCCGTCGGCGGAGCAGCGGCTGCCTCAGAGCTGCCCCCCCACGCTCACCGTGTCCCGGCGGCAGCAGCAGCAGGAGCAGGACGAGCGCCAGGGCCATAGCTCGGAGGTGCCCGCGATGCTCCGCCGTGCCGGCAGCCCCCGCCCGCCGTGACTCACGGACGGGACGGGGCGGGACGGGGCGGGACGGGGCCGCCCCCCGGCGGGGGGCTCGGTGCGGAGCGGGGCCGGGAGAGGCGGGGGGGGTCTATGGGGGTATCGGGGAGGCTCCATAGAGCATCGTGGGCTGTCCACGGGGCATCGGAGGGTGTTCGAGAACCACCACCAGGAATGGTTTGTGGGATGTCTGGAGCACAAGTGTGATGAGGAACGGCTGAGGGACCTGGGGGGTTCAGTCTGAGAAGAGAAGGCTCAGGGGGGACCTCATCGCTCCCTACAACTGCCTGACAGGAGGATGGAGCCAGGAGGGGCTGGGCTCTGCTCCCAGGGAACAAGGGATGGGACAAGAGGAAACGGCCTCAAGCTGTACCAGGGGCTTTTCCAACCTGGCTGATTCCATGATGCTGTCAGAGGGTGTGCTTGTGGCATCGGAGGCAGGATCCACGGACATTCTGTGGCTTCAGGGAGAGTCTGAAGTCCATAGGCTCCAGGGGCACATCCCGGGCACTGCTGCATTCCACAGGGCGCTGAGGTGGTGACAGTAGGGCGCCAGTGGCAACCGGGGGGCACTGGGCAGCTCCACCTGGCCAGGGACTGTCTGTGGGTATGAATGGAGGATCCATGGGGCACTGCGGGTCCCTGCCTGGCACCTCTAAGGTGACAGAGGGGCTGGAAAGAACAGGGCAGTGCCCACTGGACATGAAGGGGATGACTGTGGGGCACCAAGGTGCAGCAGGAGCTGAGGGTGGCTGGACTACCAGTGGGCAGTAGCTCGACCTGGGAGACATTGTAAGGTGTTGGTGGGGTGCTGAGATGATGGAACACTGAGATGATGGAGGTGTGTGTGTGCCATCAGGGCATATCAGTGGGGGACTTGGGACCCTCCTTGATCCCAAAGGATCTGCAGGGCTGGGACTACCATGTGGGAATGATATGGGCTCTGTCATGGAGCTGACTGCTGTCTCCCCTTTGTCCAAAGAACACCCAAGGTTGGAAGACACCTCTGAAGATCATCTGGTCCAACCTGCTGTGGGGCAGGGAGCCTGGATGAGGTTATCCACTGTTTGTTCAGCTGCCTCTTGAACCCCTCCAGGAATGGGGATTTTACCATGTCCCTGGGGAGGTTCTCCCAGCTGGTGGTTGTTCTCACTCTATTGTATTTCTTAGGTTGAGGTTAAACCTGTCTCGGTGCAACCCATTGCCCCTTGTCTTCTCCATGTGACAACTTGTGAAGAGAGACCCTGCTCCCACAACCATGATGGTTAATATTCCATGGTGTTTCAGGCCAGGACCAGCCAGGAAATGTTGCATTTAGCAAAGGAGTGGGTTGGATGTCAAACTCAACTGTTGCAGAGCTCCAACAGCAGGGACAAGCTTCCCCCAAAATGGCACAGAAACCAGCAGAGCCATGCACTGCTCCACTGTCTTTCCCCTTCCTCCTCTCGTCTCTTCTTTAACTCCCTCCTAAATAGACAAGTTTATTTAGAAAACAACAAATACGAGCTTCACCCTTGACACCCCTCACCACGTCTGCTCCTAACTTGTGCTCATGTGTGAGCAGGATTCCTTGGGATTACTCACAGATGGGTGCCTGGAAATTTGCTGTCAGTTTTAGAAAGGAATGTTTCAGAAGTACCCATTATTGCTGCTTCAACTCGGTGCTTGCTGGTTAATGATGGGCCATTAATCTATAAACAGCTTCAGTCCTGATTTAGTTCAAACTGCATGAAAGGAAGATTTCCTGCAGGAGCCACCAACGCTGCTCACTGGGGTAAGGGAACGTGCGTGACCAAGGGTAGTACAGGGGAGCCTCTCCTCTCCCCTCCACCCTGAGCTGAAGGGACAGGCATGGATCTCTCTCTGTGCATAGAAACTGAATGGAAACAGCAGGTCAACTTCTCCAAGCATCCCCCAGATTGGGGCCACCTCCACTGAGGCAACAGGAAACCTCTCCCTTCCCCCTGAACTGCACAAGTGCTTTCCCTAAAGAGCCAGGTGATGCTGGGTGAGGACTTGGTACTCAAGCTCAACCTTCAGATGCAGGAATCCAGTCCTCCAGAGCCAAGACTGGTGGTCTCCATCCTCTCCATGGGTCTCTCTCCCTCTGCCAAGATGCAGGACCAGCTGTAGGCCACCAGAGCAAGGCTCTAACACACTCTAGAAGGTCCTCGCAAAGGAGGTGAGGGGAAGGAAGACCAGGCATTAACAAGAGCACTCAGCCCTGGATCCACAGCCCTCACATGCTTCCCTAGTCTCACACTTGCCACTGAGGCTTCTGGCATGTGTCTTGGTTTCCCCTTGCTCCTCTCAACACTGCTCTTCCACCTTCTGCCATATTCGCTCCTGATATCCAAGCAATCCCTAAGGCTGAACAACTCTGCAAGGTACCCCCAAAGTCCTCTGCTGAGGACGTGGCCAATATGGTATGAACATCACGTACCTGCTCAGCTGCAAAGCCCATCTCCTCAGTTAGAGCAGCTGATCAGCTCCATTCCAGCAATGCCCCAGTTAGGCTCTCCTCCCAAAATAATGCTGCATGGCAGCTGAGCCAGATCTCTGTGAGCAAATCAGCATCCCGCCAGATGAAAGCCTAATTCGCACCCTGGTTGTGCTAACAGACAAAATAATCGCCCTTTTTCCCTTTATTTATTTTACAACACACAAACACACAACAGTAAAAAACAGGACCTGACAAAAGCCTCTCAGAAGAGAAAGCCCATTACAAACATCCCAGAGACTGTATATTGTCCCATAATGGACAACCCTTATGGTTTGTCTTCAGCTCACGTTCTGAATGCAGAGGGTTGGGTGCTCCCAGCTTGAGGTGAGTGAGTGTCCGGGTCTCTGCTGGTGCAGAAGAGGTGGAAGGGCAGCGGGAGCAGCAGCAGGGTTTCACTGGGCAGGCACGGCCGGACGGGCAAGCAGAGGAGCCGCCTTCTGGCTGCGCTCAGCAGACATGTGCTCCAGGCGCTCCGTGTAAAACCCATTGAAGTCCAACCTGAGAGACAAAAGCCCCAGAAGTTTCAGCTCAGCACTGCCCCCGAGAACTTAATGCTCATGGGCATGGAGGGGATCCAAAAACACAGGGGAAGGAGATGGACTGCGGGGTGTTGGGTGATGAGAAGCCCCTCATGACCCGGCTCCAGTGAGCGCTTGAGCCCAGTACCCCTCCATGTGCTGGGCTGCACCCCCAGAGCGCGAGCAGCAGAGATCCTGCTCCTCTGCTGCATGAAAGGGAGACCCCTCCTGCAGTCCTGATCCAGCTCTGGGGCAACAGCACAAGAGGGACGTGGAGCTGTTGGAGCGAGTCCAGAGGAGGCCACAGAGATGCTGCAAGGGCTGGAGCAGCTCTGCTCTGGAGCCAGGCTGAGAGAGCTGGGCTGGTTCAGCCTGGACAAGAGAAGGCCCCTTAAGGGGAGACCTTAGAGCAGCTCCAGTGCCTAAAGGGGCTACAGGAAACCTGGAGAGGGGCTTTGGACAAGGCCCTGTAGGGACAGGACAAGGGGAATGGCTTTAACCTGCCAGAACAGGGGAGATTGAGATGAGCTCTTAGGCAGAAGCTCTTCCCTGTGAGGGTGCTGAGGCGCTGGCACAGGGTGCCCAGAGAAGCTGTGGCTGCCCCATCCCTGGCAGTGTTCAAGGCCAGGTTTGACACAGGGCGTTGGAGCAACCTGCTCTAGTGGAAGGTGTTCCTGCCCATGGCAGGGGGTTGGAGCTGGATGAGCTTTAAGGTCCCTTCCAACCCAAACCATCCTAGGATTCTGTGATTCTGTGAAAGTCTTTTATAGGGTGAGATGAATTTTAGAACGTTGTTGGTTCAAATGAGGGATGCAAAGCAAAGCAAGTCTCACTGTGGGAAGCAGCAGATGATGCACCGCAGCACTAGACCTCTCCAGTGCTTCACTGCCCCTGCCCACAGCCTTGCTCTTCTCCAGCCATGGCTGCTGGAGAAGTCTCTCCTAGGGCATGAATGTGACCACACCACAGTGGGCTCTGAACCTGCCACCCCCAACACAGGACTTCCCCAGGCTGGGCAGACACAGTGGCTGGTCCAGAGTGAGATGGGGATGTCTGCACTGTGCCATAGGCTGTTGTCAAGTGCCACCTCTTCTGTGCTCATCCCTTGATAGATGGCTAAATTTCACTTGTTCTTTACATTATAAAATACATCAGGAAGGACCACTTGCTGCTTCTCCAGAGACATGGCTTGACCACACAGCCCTGGAAACCTGTCACTCAGGGACAAGGTGCCAGGGCTGAGGGCTCCTCAGTCTCTGCATCTTCCTGACCCCTTCCCACCGCTCCTTAGTACCACCACTGAACTATGGTTCATAACAATTCCCATATGAAATCCACCATTTATCCACTGTAACTACCACAGAATGTTGCATTACCACCACCATCATCACCTTGCTAACACAAGCGTGCTTCAAACAGATTCATGATTCAAGAAGATGAGTAACTGGTCGGAAGACGCTGAGCCAAAATCGCAACTACTGCTGATACCTGTAAATGCCTCTCCAAAGCAGGAGATGCACTCAACCACCTAAACCAAACCAGCAGTAGTTTGGTACAGGCTCCAAAGGAGGTGAAAGCCTGAACTGTAGCCAGGGCAAGAACTCCTCCAGGAAACCCACCAAGGGCAAAGTGACCCAGAAAGCATCGATGAATATGAGCCTGGAGCACTGATCACGCCATTAACACATGCATAGCACATGGCTTTTCCAAGACTCATTTACGAAGGACCAAAGAAAGCAGTGGGTACAAGGAGTCTCAAGCATACCTTTCCCACTGTGTGCAATTTGATTACAAGCCAACCACTTTATTACATAAAAAAGGCAGCTTAAATGAGCCTTCTTTGAGCTCTCTTTGATAGGCAGCAAGGCTGCTGCATGCCTGTGATCTCTCCTGGAGCTGAGAGGCCTCTTCAGATTGCTCTTCAAAGCAGAGAGAGCTGTCATCTGCTAATGACAGATCTTTGGATCAATTCAAGTTCTCTCTGCGCTGCAGTTG